CACACGGGCCCGGCATGAGTTTTAAGCCACCGGGTCCGGGACACGAACTGCGGTCGACTACATGGGAGTCCAGCGACATAGCCATTACGCTAACTGCTGGTTCCCTTGTTTTGGTTTGTTTTAAGAGATATTTTTGCTATAGGGTGTGTGCACTCTCCAGAGAGACAGAGACAGAGAGACGGAAAGCAAGGACTCACCCACCAGGGAGTAGGGCCATGCCATAATCCCTTCTCCTCCATTCTCCTCTTGGGATTTTGGGCATGCACACACATGCGCCCAATGTGAGTTTTAAGTCACTGGGTTCAGGACTCAAACCACGATTGACTATGTAGGAGTCCATGGATGTAAACATTGCGCCATCTGCTGGCCCCACCTAATGTGTTTTAAAGTTCTTGTATGAGAAGAAATTAGTCTATGAGGTGGGGGCGAAGCTGATCTCGACATGTTGACTTTCATTCATTGACAAAGATATGAGATCATGAATTAGTGGTAAACTATCAGGGTGGCACTAGCTTAGAAAAGGTGTGCACAGAAATGAATTTAAGTCTGTCTCTCAAAGCAATAATTTACAATAGAAATTATACAATGTTCAAAAGAGTAATTGAGCCCATTAAAATTAAAAGAACAATGTGCATATGAACTAATGAGCAGATTTATTAGGGGAAATACACAACTGAAGTAGGAATTATTGTGCCAGCGAAGAAACTATGGAAAAGATTGCCCAATTACAAGCTGTACATTTACTCTGAGACAACCATTCTTGGTGTCCCAAAGAAACTAGCTATTCAAACCTGGTTTGGGCTGCTCAGATCCTTTCTTCTGTAAATGAAGTTACAGATTCCAAGCCTACATGTGCTACCAGTTAAAATGTGGGTCTTGCCAAAGATAAGAAAGTCAAAAGCAAAGAAGAAACTCATCTCAAGTCAATAAGCCTGCACTCATGTAACCATTCTAAGTTTCTGAGTTTTTAATGAATACATTCATGATTCATGACCTCTACTTTGTACTCTCCTGGCACAAATGTAAGCTGGGCATTATTCAATTTCCTATCTTTCATATCTCAATTGAGCAAGAGTCATGTGCAGAACCATCAGTAAAGTCCATTGCTAGGTCCCATGGATGCAATTATGAATAAGCCTTTGTTGCTACTCTTGAGATGCTTATTATAATGGAAACAAGCAAATCAAAGGTGGTCTCTCTGGCCATGGGCTTAGAACTGAAGGTGGACATTAATCAAGGCATTTAGGCCACCGATTGCAGTGCAAAAGGAACACAATGCTCTGTGATGCTGAAGCCACATGAGAAGGTCCTAGGTTCATATCCTAATGTCTCCCTGTACACCCTGAGTATGTGTATGCATGATTCTCATTGGTTAGGCTGGAGAGAGGACTGCTGTATGAAGACCCCTTTGGAAGTACATGTTCTCTCTCTCTCTCTCTCTCTCTCTCTCTCTCTCTCTCTCTCCCCCCCCCACCTCTTCTCTTTCTCTTGGAAGAAATAAACTGGGACCAGCAGTTAGCGTAATGGCTATGTCGCTGGATTCCCATGTAGTCGACCGCGGTTCGCATCCTGGACCCGGTGGCTTAAAACTCACGCCAGGCGCGTGTGCGTGCATGCCCAGGGGAGAATGGAGGAGAAGGGATTGTGGCGTGGCCATCCCCTTTGGGGGGTCATGTCCCATTTTCTGTCTCTCTGTCTCTCTCTGTCTGGCGAGCACACTCACCCTATAGCAAAAACCTCTTTAAAAAAAAAGTTATTTTAAAAAAAGACATTTAAAAGTGAAAATGGGCCAGCCCTATATAGCCTAATGGTTAAAGGAACCCAAATCCCACATGGCTGACTGTGGTTCAAACATGTGGCTTGGTGGTTTGGAAAACATATAAGACATGTATTTGTGCATGTCCAAAAACCCAGTGGGATGGAGAAATGGAGGAAAGGGGATTGCAGTATGATCATACCTCATTGGGGGAATGCTTTATCCCTCTCATTGTCTCTCTTTCTCTGGTGAACACATGCGCCCTCTGGCAATTAAAAAGAAAAAAAAAAAAAAGGAAACAAGAACAACACAAAAAGTTATGGCATGAATGAGGGAAAGGTTGAACCTTCTGGGCAAACAAACATGTATTTCTCTTTTGAGAAAATTGACTACAAAGAGTGTAGAAGGGAGTGAGTGTGAGATTGGGCAGGGAGAGGTTGAGACAGACCCACCCCCTTTCCAGTCCTGTTCAGTCTTCAGTGACTTTCCCACAGGTATTATTCTGCTGCCACTGAGAGAGTAGAAGCAGTTGGGAGACCGCCAGGATTACTGTTCATCTTTGTCTTTGTAGCCACACCCAAGCCCACAATGAGAGAACTCCCAGGCAGAGATGCCAACTTTAGACACAAAGAATAATGCAGCAGATACAGAAATAAGACTGGGGAGAAAGAGGAAAGGGCTGGTCAGATAAATAATCAGGGCAGTCTTTAACAAGGTCTGGTAATGCCTAGTTCAGAGCTTCAGGGAGTAACTGTCATCAAAGATTAAACCACCCCTGGGTTGCCTTGCAAGATAGGAGGAACACTTAAGGAACTGACTCATCAGCAGGTCACGCTGACCTTTGTTAAAACTGGAAAGAAGCCATATGACCTCTAGTTTTCTAAAATCACCAGGTCTTTCTTTTGCAGAGTTACTCCTAAAATGTAGATGGCACTCCGCTGTGTAGGTGAGGCTTTCTCAACCCTCCTTTGATCACTAGCTGAACAGAATATAAGCCTCTTTTATTCTTATATCCTTAGCAAATGAAGCAATAGTGCTCCTTTCAATTTCCATGAAAAACAAGCACTTCGGTTCTTTCAGATCTTCAAGTCATTCCACTTATTGGGCACTGCTAGCTTTTTTTTTTCCCCTTAGGAATTATTTATTTGTTATTATTATTTTTTAAACGTTTCTTTTATCATTACTATTTATACAGTCAATCACTATACATCATTTAGATTGTAAAGAGAATTTATCCAGCATGAAATACACTTCAGACCAGTCCAGTAGAGAATACTACACACAGCATCATCAACAGGTAATAAACCATTTCTGTGTTCACAAATGCCTTACTTCTCTATTTTTGCCCCAGACTTCCTTCCCTACATTCTTCCCCTCTCCCACTCTTCTTCCACTTTGTCCCCAGTGTCCACACCAATTTTTAATGTTTTTATGTCCTCCAGTCTTTCAGTCTCTGCCATACAGTGCAGACAGTCAGTAAACATTAAGTGGAGACATATAATGTCTCTCTTTCATAGCCTGACTTGCTTCACTCAACAATAAATCTTCCATATTCATCCACTTTCTACCAAATGCCAGGGTCTTGTTGCTTTTTATGGCGAATAGTATTCCATGGAGTATATGTGCCACACTTTTTCAATCCATTCATCTGTTTGTGGACATTTGGTTTGGTCTGATGTGTTAGCAATCAAGAATAATGCTGCAATAAACATAGATGTGCAAGCCCTTTTATAACTGAGCATTCTCCTGTCCCTTGGGTTGATACACAGGAGTGGAATTGCTAGATCATGAGGAACTGAATAAATAACTCTCTAAGGAAGATATATCAATAGCCAAAAAAGCATATTTAAAAAATGCTCAACATCCCTCATCATAAGAGAGATGCAAATCAAAACCGCAATGAGATATCACCTAACCCAAGTCAGAATGGCAAAGATTAAAATAATAATAAATAATAAGTGCTGGTAGGGATGTGGTGAAAGGGGAACTCTCCTATATTGTTGCTGGAAATGTAAACTGACCCAGCCACTGTGGAGAACAATATGGAGGTTACTCAAAGACCTTCAAGTTGAACTGCTAGCTTTTTAAGCCTGATGCTTATGAACCAAGGCCTGTGTTCATGATCAGTTTAGATGAAAAGATGGCTACCACACAAAGAAGACTCTTACATTCACAAGGACCCCTCCACTGCCAGTCATTCCTTTCCTATTTGTTTCTGTAAGAAGGCATGACAGATGCCATTCTAACCCTCTGATCTCACTTACCTGCATGCTCCGTACATTGGGACATTCGTCTCCCCTCTCTTCCTTCCTGACTTCCTTGGAACAGGCTGAAGGCCACAGCTGGGGCTCATAAGCATCTTGTGACCATCACTTTTACCTCATGAGACTGACCCACATTCAAGGCCATTCCAGAGGTATGAATTTGTCCCCTCATCAGTATCATAAGATCAGGGGCACTGCACTTAAATGCACTTTCTTATTGATTCTGGTAATCCATAACCTAACCTGTTATTGAAATTTCCAAACAATGTATGTAGACACCAGACCCTTGCCTTGGTGACGGGAAATCTGCATTGCTCTTCGAGTGATTTATGCATGCCTTGATGGCAAACATATATAACCACTGACCATGCAGATCACTCACTGACCAACCATCATCAGTGTATCCCTGTCCTGTATGTAAGTAAATAAATTCATGTCTATCTGTGCTGTACTTTCAAATGACTTCTTTGAGATTGGTAGACATTATGTTCACCTTGGGACTTCTGCCTTACACCCTACAAGAAGAAATGACAAATATCCTGTTACACTTCTAATCTCATTAACCTGCTCCAACTTCCTCTTTCCTCACACATTTCCACCATCTCCCCAATCACCATAGGTCCCATCCTTATTGTCGTAAGTTTCTCCAAACTAGCAAATGATGTCCCCAGCTTAAGGCTTATTAATACCTTGGCTCTCTAGGGGTACTAAGTCAATAAGTAATTCTTTTATATAAGTCCCTGTCAAGGTACTCTGAATTACAAACAAAAATATCATCATCAATATGCCCTTGCTTTCAATGAATGAACAACCTAGCAGGGATATATATATATATATATATATTATATATGTATAAAATGAGATACCATCATAATTAGTATTTGAAAGTTGCTTTGAGATTTGACAAGTATTTCCTCATTTATTATCTTGTTTAATTCTTTGGAAAATGCTGTAAGATAAGATTATTTTCAGCTCTCATTTTATAAAGGAGAGCGCTGAAGCTCATGTAGCTGAATGAGGAGATTTATCAATAATAGAGCAGCAACCCAACTTAAATCCAGAAATTCCAACCCTGAACCCTTTGCTCCTTCCTTAGTCGGGATAATGTAAGAAAAGTACAGAGAAGGTGTTACTGGAATTCGGAGGAGGAAGCACCATGGAAAACTAGAATGCTCTCAAAACCACATCACAGATGAGTCTCTCCTGGGGGCATCTGGCTGCAGAGTCTCCGGTAAGTGGTTTATCAGATAGTTGCCGCAAGTTCAGCTAACAGGTTCCTTCTCTAGAGTTGCTTCTCTGTCACACAGAAGAGCCAATGTGGTCTCACCATTATTCCCAATAGCCAAATTTATCTTCATAATTGTCAAGGTCTTAAGGTTGCCAGATTCCTGTTGAACAACAAAAGGATGGTGAATTACCACATTTCAGTAGAGAATTGAAAGGTAAAAAGAAAGGAATAGGTCCAAATGCCTTAGGATGACCTGCCCCTCTCTAATCCAGGAAACTGTGGCCTCAGAACTTCATTTTTTTCATTCAACAAATATTTAAGTCCCCATTTTATGCATGCCATTGTGCTAAAGGTTCAGGTTACAGAAGTCAACAAGTTCACCATGTGAAGCACATGCATCATGCATACATGCCTGCCTCTGAATTGTACAACACATATCTGAGACACAGTGTTTCTGAGCAATGACAGAAGCCACTGGCAAGTCATTCCCATTTAACATAACCCTGTCTATAATAGACTCCTGACAAGTTGAGTCCTGTTGTTCAGTCCATGGTGTCTATAATCCAATTCTCCAAACAAAACTTTGTTCTCAAAAATTTCCTGACCATGCACTTTGGGAATTCCTGCTTTGATGGACTTCCAAGCCCTTTGGGGCCTCCTTGGGAGGTAGCGACATCAATGTCAGATCTGTCCCTCCTCCAGCCCCAAGCAGCTTTCTCTCTGACCTTGTTGGAGAGATGGTAATCACTTATTTGAAAACCAAACCAAAACTCACCATAACCTCCCAACTGCTGATAAAAAAAAAAAAAAGTTAAAAGGCAGCTTTGTTAGATTTTTTTTTTTTTCTTCTAACATTTCCTCTCTCATCCAGGAAAGAAGTAAAGATGGAAAGGCTTCCCACTGAGCAGGAGTGGAACAGAGCTCCTCTTTCAGTCTTGTATTTTCCATCATCCAGGTAAAGTCCTTCCTGGTCTACAAGTCCCAGCAATTAGGCTATGGAAAAGTGGGCTGCTCATTGTTCAAAAGAGCCTGACTTTTCTGATTTCTCTCCTCTTTAGCATTTTGTTTTCCACATTGTTTGAGATACAAAAGCAAATGAGGTTTAAAAACAACAAGCAAAACAAACAAATAAAACACTAATGTCTCACTTTTACTCAATTTATACGGACACTCAGGTCTCTAGAGCTGACCTGCTCCTTTCTAAAAAGGAAGAAGGCAGTTCCCAATAGGTTGCTTCAGGGGGGCTTCAGGAAGGAAATTGGAAAGACTTCCAATGGAGTTACTCCTGGTTGCACAGAGGTCAAAAAATCAAAATGATAGTGTGAGCTTGGGTAAATTATTTACCCTGTCTGTATGTTCAATTCTTCTAGTTTCAAATAATATTTGAATGTATGAAGGGTCTTCAAATAGTTCATGGAAAAAGTGTATTATGAAAAAAGTTTTCAAAATAATTTTGCACCAACATTAACTTGTACATTAATCCCATTTTTCCACACCAACTTTTAAGTTCTCCTCATATCAGAAACTATTGCACTGGCTGATAACTATTATGGAACAGCTCATTCCGATAAATGCAAGAAGACAAATACAGCAAGAAAGTTTCCATGAGAATTCTGATTCTCAGGGCAGGAAAAATTTACCCAAGGGAGTCCAGGAGACTTTCGATTGCAATGCACTGAACCCTGGGAAAACATCAAAAGATTGTTTCCGAAGACATGTTTCTCAGAACTAGAATCCTCCTAAGTGCTCTGCCAAAAAGTGTTCCATGGTCACAAGTTTAGAATAGTCAACAGAGAATAGCTGCTCGACATTTCCAAGGAACATCACCATAGCAAAAACATTGAGAAGGCTCATCTTATCTCAACCCGTTTAACTCTGTTGAACCCAACCTTGTCAAAATGTCCTTGATCACAGATATTTGGGGTTTTTTTAACATATATTAATATTTCATACATGGAAACACGGCAGAAGAGCAAATAAATCTACCTTAGAAGAAGGATAGCTTCCCAAAACCGAACTTCCGCAGCATGAAACTGGCTTAAGGGTACAGCAATGTCGTTATTGTGTGACTGTCTAGAGCCTGCCAGACTGAAGTAATAGCTAATGCAGTTTTCCTTCTCTAATTGGCACTCTAAGCCTTGGCACCTGGTCCTTAATCCAAATCACAAGACCCCATCACACGCCAATAAAGTGGCCTTACCGAAGCCATTTCTCCATTTTGCACTCATCCAGCCTGCAGACTCTTTTAATATCCGCCTATGCCTATAGCCCTTCCCCAGAGACTGGTGACCATTCCTTCAGTCATATTTCATAGAAACCAATATTTGTGTAGAACGTATCAGTCTCGCTTCAGATAGGTCACAGTCAATACAAATATAACAGCCTGAAGAATCAGCTGCCACTGGAAAGTACTGTTGTTTGACAGACAGCTAAGGGAACATGCATCTGGGTAGGAAGGACTGACAACGGGAAAGCGGACTGAAACACAAACCGGACATGCCTTCCTCCTGTTCTAGAATCAGACTGTTAAAATCCCAGGAAGCTTGTCCATGCAGCCTTGAAGACTTGAAAAAAAAACTGAGGCAGAGCCCGAGGTTGCATAAGATGCCACACTAGGTGGACAGCTGTCTGTTTCCACAGTCCATTCTCAAACTAGTGTGCCGACACCTCGCCCAGCTCACCACCAGAAGAAACACAGCGCATTTTCTATTTCCATGACTTGTCACAGTTTTCAAGCACTTCCCTTGTGGTTTCTTGGTGGATGGTAGATCTGCAGCTTTTAAGAAGTCATTGTGTTTGGAACCAGCAGATGGCATAGCAGTTATGTCATTGGACTCCCACATAGCCAGCCATGGTTCTAGCCCAAGACCTAGTGTCTCGAAATCATGCTAGGCATGTGTGTGTGCATGCCCAAGATTCCAGGAAAAGTATGGAAGAGAAAGTATTATGGCATAGTCATCCCTCCTATGGGGTGATTTCTTTCTCATTTTCCCTCTTACTGTCTCTGTCACTCTCTCTTTGGTGAGCACATGCACCATAAAAAAAGCTTAAATGAAAAAAGAGCCATGAGACTTAGTTTTTCTCACCTAACAACAAGTGAGTCAAGTGACAGTTACAATGCGTTTTAGCTTTTAATTCATCTGTTCACTGAACAAAAGTTTTCTGAGCACTCCCCAAATGCCAGGCCTAAAACTGGGCTGGAGTTGACAGAGGTAGCCCTTATAGTCAAAGAGGGAGACAGATAATTGACAAGACAAATGAAATAACACATTACCAGATAAAAACCTCTTTTGGTGGACTGGATGGTGTCACAGGGGTTAATACAACACTCTGCATGACTGACTCACATGAGAAGGTTCTGGGTTTGTATCCAGAAACCTCTCTGAATGTATCGTGTGTGCACATGCCCATGATCCAGGGCTGATAAAGGCTGGAGGTGAATTGTAGTGTGAGGATTCTGTTGTAGGCACCTGTCTCTCTCTCTCTTTTTTTATAGAGGTTTTTGCTACAGGGCTCTTGCGTTCACCAGAAAGACAGAGAGAGACAGAGAGACAGAAAGCGAGAAATCACCACCTCCCCTCCCCCCTGCCCAGGGGAATGGCCACACCGCAATCCCTTCTCCTCCATTCTCCTCTCAGGATCTTGGGCACACACACACATGTGCCCAGCATGAGTTTAAGCCACCGGGTCAGAGACTCGAACCACAGTCGGCTACATGGGAGTCCAGCAACATGGCATTATGCTAACAGCTGGTCCCTCTCTATCTCTTTGTTGTTCACTCATGAAAGAAATAAAGACATTTTTTAAAAAATAAAAATTGCTTTAAATACAATAAGAACTTTTAAAAGAAAGAATGATGCTGCCCATATTGTACCATATTGCATGACAGGAAGCCACAGTTGGAATCCCCTACTGGTAGTTTTGGAACACACTGGGCACATACCCAGGTACCCAAAATCTTGACAAATTGGAAGACTAAGGGAAGGAAATAGCTGTGTGATGATACCTAACCACGGTGCTCTCTCTCTCTCTCTCTCTCTCTCTCTCCTCTCTCTCTATTTCTCCTTTTGTCTCATGTATGCACATGCACTATTCATCATGAATTTTTAAAAAGCTACAAAAGTAGTGAATAAATTAACAAATATTTTTTAAAAAGAAAAATAGAAGAGATATTTGTTATTCCGTAATTCTAGTACTCGGGAGAACTCTATAGAATGGAAATCTAAAACTTGCAGAGATATTCAGCAAGGGACCTTCAGTCACATGGCCCCCTGGGTTCCTATGTCCTAGACTAGCAACCTTCCCAGGGAGGCAATTCCCTGCTTGTCAACCAGCAGGGAAGACACACGGTTTTAAAGCTGTGTGTAGCTGTGAGCACTGTGATTTAGAGGAGAAGAAAAAAGGCAAGGAGAAAGGGAAAGGAGGAAAAAAAAAAAAAGAAAGAAAAAAATTACTAGCCAAAGAGAAAAAACCTTCTCCATCCATCTACAATCTGGCTTGGCCTGACAGCCAGCTTGAAAATCTAGGGCAGAACACAGGGGACCTCCCACCAAGAACTATGGCTGATTATTCCATTCTACAGTTTTAAAAAAGAAAAGGGGCGGGGAGGACTTCTCGGAAGTGCAAATAAGGATTGAGCTGCAGTAAAGCACACCAGGCCACCTTCCCTGAGCAACAGGGATTTTGTTCTCGGCATGGCGATGCAGTCTGACAAGACAAGTTCACTGCAGTTCACATCACCATTGAGCACAGAGGCCCAGGAGGCTCGCATCTGGGACTCGCAGCACTCACGCGTTATCACCACTACAGCTGCAGGTAATTATTAGTAATAATAATAGATAATATTTACATAGCCTGTTTCTTCTCAAGATCCCAAGACATACGACAATACCTACAAATTTAGATATGCACAGCCACTTTCAACAACCTGCTTGGGGACGGCTTTCCCGTCAGTGCAACGCAGATGACATGCAAATTATCACCAGCCACTCCATCCTGGCAACAGCTCAGAATGGAAAGCTAAGAAGAGAAATTTAAATATTAATTTAGGCTTTTTTAAACACCATGGAATTACTTCTTAGGATACATGTCATTATACATTTGTCAAAATCCATACAATGGACAACACCAAGAGCAGAGTCTAACACGCACTGTAAACTT